TATTATTTTCTTGTATTCCACGGGTGTTTGAAAGCAAGACTCCAAATAATTGTTAATGTTATTCAATGTTCATGTCTGCCAGTGTCCCGACGCATACTCCCTTTCTGTTTCTTTTTCTCTCCTGTACAATAATTCCTCTTTATTTTTCTTTGTTGAATTTCAAATTTTTGTTTTCACAGCAAAAATGCATGCCACACTCAGCAGAGCAACAAGAGTGAGTGTTGTCAAATGGTGTCCCCTTAGGGAGGTTTCCTACTGTCGTTTCAAAATTTGTACATTGCTTTGATTTAAGTTTGTCAGCCCTCAGGGGGCCCCCTACTGGTCTGGGGCCCCAAGCAGCCTTGCCTGTTGACAAGCAGCGCCTCTGTTTGCACGGTGAGACTAAATGCTGGCAGTTGAAAATTATGTTCTTCTCGAACAGTACATGTGTATTAAATAGTTATATACAATGTAGTGATGCCTGTTTCTTCTGGTAAAACAAACAGTCTGTAGCATCACATTGTCCTGCAAAAACTTATCTACAGAAAGAAATGTTGTCTTTCTTTTTGTGTATAAGTTGTTAATTTAACAGAAGCCTCAAGTGACAATACATCTTGCATTTAATTTTACTCAATTTTACCGTTATTTCAAGTGAATTCTGGTTGTGTTCTTGAGATAAAGAAGCTTGTTTAACTGTAATAAGTCATTTTCTTTTGATCTTTAGAAAGTCACTAAATTTAACTCATTATCATGGGGAAACCAGCATTGTTATCCCTACACACAGAGATAAATAAGTTGAGATCATGAAGAAAAACAACCGAAATGTTGTTGTTATCATGGGAAAATGGAGTAAAATGACTGTAAAATACATGTCTGCTTAGGACTTCCTTGTGATTGACCATACTGATACTCACAGACTATTCTTCACTGAAGATGTTGAGTTCAGATTCAGCCAGGCTGATTTGCATTTTGTCTTTAGTTTGAGTTTCTGGTCAGGTCATTGCAGTCATGAGAAAGTTGCTTTATTCTCCTTATAACACGATGCAATTCAACTCTGGTAACTGCCTCTTCAACAGATTATATTACATTAACTGCCGTCATGTTTAAATTCAGAAGCTTCAACCTCCAGTCCACTCATCGTAAACACGACCGTTCTCTGGTTGAAGACAATTTTTTTTCTCCCTCTTTTATTGGAATGAGATGCAGAGTCACTTTACAATAGATACATTTAAAAGAAAGGAAGATTATAATAACAGTATTAAGGATTATTTGAGCGTCGATCTGATTGATGCCTCTGTGTTTCGCAGCTTTTTTTATACTGCTGTATTCGCCAAACTGCCCTTGTGTCTCAAAGGGGGAAAAAAAACCCTGTTAATGAAAATAATACACTGGATAACGTCACGGCTAGAGTTGAACTTTGAGTTGTTAGTGTCAGGTAGATCAGAAAATACATCGGTATAGAGTGACATTTCCACACTGCCACTTCTTCCTGTGATGGTTTTGTAACTTTCTTTTCAAATTATTTCTTGGGGGAGAAATAATAAAAAATAAACCCTGCTTCTGTCATTTCCTCTTATTCCCTCCTACTCTTCCATACATTGAGTCATGCTCACATGGAGAAGTTTCGCTGACCCATAAAAACCCTGTTAGAAATTTAGCTTCCAAGAACCCCGGTGATGATATCTAATAAGAAGTGTTGCCCACCTCTCTCCATCTCCCCTCCTCCTTTGATCTCCCCTCTTCCCTCCCTCCGTTTCTTTCTTCCTGTAAGCTTCCAACTATCCATCCAAATCCCTCTTCCTGTCTCTCTCTTCCTTTCACTCTGCTGCTCTGCCTTGCTCACCCGCCTTGCTAGGCTCCGGCATGTTATTTAAGTCAAGGACGGCATTAGCATGACGATCACAGCCTTCTATCACACGTCTTGTCTGCCAAGGCTGGAGCTGGAGGAGCGGGCTTTGTTATTAGTGTGCGGAGAGAAACGCGAGGAGTAAAAGGAGAGAGAGAGAGAGAGAGAGAGAGAGAGAGAGAGAGAGAGAGAGAGAGAGAGAGAGAGAGGAGCTGCAGGCATGTAGAGAGAGGATAACACGGCCTGTAAAAGACTAAAGATGATTTGTGATTGCATGAGACAAAGGATACATTAAAGAAACACATAATCCATTTGTGTGCCATACGTTGTGGGATTGGCCCTGTGTTCTGTCGATGAAAGACAAAAGAATTGTACATGACTGTCAAGAGATAGACCTACAAAGAGACTCAGAAATCAGCCTATGTACCACTCCTTCATCGTTATATGAAGCCCTCAGCAAACTTAGATCACACTGTGTGTATGAGTCCTGCTAGTCAAGATATGATTACTCACATGTAGGACTGGGTCGTATAGCAATCTAAAAGTGTGATTCAATTAATTTCAATAACCCATATAAACTTTGTACAGCAGCCTATGTGTGATCCCTGTCTGGATTAGTGTTTCATTTATTTTTTGTTAATCATTTTCTGTTACCGTCACCTTTCTTTCCCTCGTGTGTAGAGGTACTTATTTCCTGTTTCTTTTCCCGCCTTTGTAATTGTGTGTTCCGCCCCGTTCTCACCTGTGTCTGATTAGTCTTACCCTGCCCCCCCTGATTGACGCCCGGTGTATAAAGTCTTTAGCTTTCTATCGCTTGGCAGATAGCGTCCTCTGAAGGACCCAGGCTTCGTAGCATGCAAAAACCTCATGAACCCCCACCACAGGGTGCCTGAGGGAAATCTATATATTTCAGGTGAAACTGCTTTATGAAGTGTTTTAATTCAATCCTAATCATTCAGTCTGTTTGTTTTCACGAGAGGAAGAGGCCTTTGGTGACATTTAAAGTTCTAGTAAACACCTCCTGACTAATGAACACTAAAGGAATCACTACCTAAAATTCTAGATGAGCTAAAGTAAGAGGTAGCTCTGCTAAACAAAATTATCCAGATGTCCTGTTCGCTAAAGAGCTAACAGGGCAGATGTTCGACTTCAAAATGCTTTTATTTTCTAATCAAATTTCACAAAAAAAAATTGCCAACCTTAAAAGAGCAAGGAGCGATTCAAATTCAAAACATTGTCGAGAGGTGTCTCCCCCCGTCCACTTGTCTCTAGAGTTGATGTGCATGTGGGTGGCCATTTCACGGACACTGAAGCTTCAGTGTTTAGCCGGCCCTTAAATGCGCCTACCTTCTGTGGTCCAAACAAATCCAGAGCATTCAGGAGCAGAATCTAAAGTTAGAAGGAGGACATACTGGCTGCTGCATTGTTGTCAGAGAAGCCAGCACTTCAACATAGCATGTTTCCTTAAAGGCTTTATATGCGATTTTTTTGATCCAGCATATGTCGCCCTTGAGCACCAGCATGAAACCAAAACAACTTGCGGTGCATTGTTGTGTTAGCATGCTAATGCTAGTGATCTTTATCATGCTCGTATCTTCACACTGCATGTAAATTGACCTGAAATGAGCGTGATCTAGAAACACAGTTAAGCAGTGAGTACAGTATGTTATTCTTCTTTTCTCTAGTCCCTCAATTAAACAACTTTTATACGCGAGGGGAGGAGTCAGCTGGCCGTCCTGGCGATGTAAACAAACTGAAGATAGGACTCGGAAAAAATCACAGACAGTGGGACTCGGGTGTTACACCCATTGTAGACAGTCATGACTCACAGAGTTATTTTCAGAGGATATACTTGATTTCTATTACATTTAAGAGTGAAAAATCACATATAAAGCCTTTAATGTCTGATCATATAGTAAGGTCACTTTGTCATTTCATTCAGTACATCTTACAGATTGCTCCTCTAAATACTTACGATATAATTTTATACCAAATGTTAAACAATCAGTTTAACTATTGAGCCGTCTTGTTTCTTTAGGCTTCCATAGTAACTTCTCAAACTGGCAGAAAATAGACCACTTTATTAATACAGACACAATATTATGGTTATATTTTTGCAAATTGGCCGAGCATTACTCAGATCGTGCCTTTAGTCCTCTCATTGAAACAGGCACAGCCCCACTTGATCTCCCTTGCTCTCTGTGCATACTCTCCATTTGTAAACCTATTTATTACAACAGGAAATTAAAACTGTTAATTGTAACATAAAGACGCATCTGTGTTACTAAAACCAGATGAATATTTAATGAAACAGATGCTGTCCTGGGCCAATTCCTCCCTTCGCAAACCTCCGGCGGTCTGCAGTCCTACACCGCGCGATGAAGCATCCTTGAGTTTGAACACCTCTCTGCGGTGCGCTCAAGGCAGCAGGACATTCTGGAAAGACACACCTATTGGTTTAAAGACACCCTTGATAATTAAAGTCATCATCAGCCTTAAAGAAGTTATCCATGTAATCACCACTGCGGCTCAATTGGTGCAGCATCACACAGATGACTCTTGTTGTTTGGTAAAATGCTAGCTTCAGATGTCCATGACTCACCTTTTACTGACACCCTGCAGTACCCATGTTCAGTCTGAGTCTTCACAGCAGAAAGAGAAAGAGAGATAGGCTCTGACATTTCACATCACTTTCAGTCAGACGAATAATCTGATTGTTGGGAAGGTGGGGGCGTGTGGCCTTGGAAAAGAAAAAGAAAAAAACTCCTGCTGCATATTAAATGTGCTCAGGCGTTTCATGGCCTGTCAAACCGAGGTGTGATTTGCGATGCACAGAAGACACACTGTCTCATTTCCTGGCCCATGTGTGCACATGTGGACGCCTGTGCATGGATGCGTACAAGGACTGGGCATGCACGACACCTACATGCACACACAACCAACACACAGCAGCAGTCAAGCCTGCTATCATCTGAATCCCTCCCCTGTGGTGGCTCTGCAAGGCATCTCAATCTCCATCACGCTGTCAGAAGAAATAAACACATTACAGCATGAGCAGCAAGTGAGTAAAAAAAAAAAAAAGGTTATTTTTTGCACTCAAGTTCATCCTCATGTAAGTTATATTTACTCTGCACATTGGCGTACACACAAACACAAACAGCCAAAGACGCTCTCATCCGTTGCATGGTGAAAAAATACATTTATTGGAATCTGTGTCAATGTAGAAAAAAGTGAAAACTGGCTTTAGGTTTTGTCACAGTACCACAGGTGAATATTTCAGCAGCCTTCTTGTCAGCAAGCTTGTTTAGAGAGGCAGTACATCTGCTACCGATGACAACAGAGAAGGGGGGAGGGGGGGGGGCCTACGGTGGCCTGTGAGAACCAAACATCACTGAGAAGCTCAGGTTGCTCCTAAAACACACCACCACCAAAAACACATGTTGTACAGCAATTAATCACCACAGATGTTCTCTCGAGCTTTTGTGGGTTTAGCAGGGGAGGCTTGTTTTTTAAATATTTTTGTTGTGATACTGTTACAAATCCCTTTCCAATAACTCAAAAGCCAGGACCATTGACTGCCAGCATCTTCAGTGGCTCAAAGGAGCCCGCTTTGTGTAATCAATTGTCTGCCACTGTTTTATAACTAAAAGGTTATAACAAATAATCTGCCATTTTTTCCAGACTTGGGAATAACTCCAGTGGCCCTGTGCAAAGCCTTGAGCTTCATGCATCAGTGTACCAGGGCCAGACCTGCCATCCAGATCAAGGGAGTATCAATTTAATATTTCTCTTCTTGTGCAGAAGTCACTTTTCAATCTAAATATTTCTGTCTGAACAAACATTTCTTTAATAAAGGTACTGTTAGTGTCATATTCTACTCTGGCAGGCCACACATTATAACAGGTAGTGCATTTCTATTTCTGATATGACAGGATAAGTCTCACAACACACAGCAAGTCTGCAGACTTCAACTAAAACTGAAAAGAAAACAGGCCTTTGAAAACAAAAAGGACATTTCTAAACTCAGATACTGAGCATTAACATTGAGAGGTCAGTATTTTCTCCAATACAACTTTCTTTACATATAGACTTCTTTTTATTCTTAAATATCTTAAATCTCATATAAAATAATTCATCAGAAACAGATCCTATATACACAGACAAGAGTGCACAGGATGGAGAAAGAGTAGGTGTGCATGCCAAGGTGGTTTGCAGTGAGATTATACGCTCTGCCTGAAGTTCGGCTTTTCTGATGAAATACATGACTGGTTTGTCTCGAGTATCAGACTCAATATCATCATTCTTAAAACACACAAGTGCCTCAAAATCAATACAGAGCTTTCTCTTTTGAGGGGCAACTCTTCAAAGAGAATTTGACCTTCATGGTCAAAAAAATCAAAACAAATCCACACTTCAACCTTGGCCTCTCCCAGAGAAAGTTATCTACAAAAGCAGAGCTATTAGCAGTACGATTATCTGGACTGGATTCCGGGATAAACCTTAGATGAAAGTCTTGTCAAATGGAGATAAGCAGTGGTAAATAATGCAGTATTTGTTGGGGACTAGGCTTAATCCAAGAGTGTGACAAAAGCGATACATGGCAGGCTGCAGAGTGGTCGCCTGGGGTTGAGGCAAATAATATGCTCATGGATGGGCATTCATTAAAATCTTTGATTACAGCATACATCAAGGCATGCATGCTGCAGGGAATTTTTAAGACAAATTAAAATCAAATCAAATATAACAGGATTGAATTTGCTCTAATTCTGCCATGTAGCATTAAGCTAAGAGTGGATGAGTTCTGGGAAAAGTTTTTTACTAAAATCATACAACATTGGTGACAGGCAGGTTTCAGGAAGCAGCTTGTTAATTCTTCTTTTGGGACAACCACTCTGGTTTTTCCTGATGTGTTCAACTTAACACAGAATCACACAGTACTTCATCATGTCTGACAGCTCATTTAATCAGCTGGGTTGAATAAAATGAACTTTCTGTAAAAGCCTGGTTCTATGTGACAGTTTTTGAAGGTATGTTCGAATTGCTCGAGCAGAGTAATCAGCCAGCAGCTATGGAACAGGCTTTAAAGGCTGCAACATCATTCTTGGGGGTTAAAACAGCTCAAAGTTTGTCTCCTAAAGGTCATTTTTTTAAAGCCACAACCTCTGATGTTGAAAAGCTAATGCAAAAGGTCAAAAAACTCCAGTTCCTCAAGTTTCCACTTGAGGCTGGCACAAAAAGCCAAGAACTCCCCATTATGTCCCATATCAAAACCCTCATTCTTAGAGCAAAAAAAAGGGTTACAGCTAAGTTTTTGTTCTGTTTTGGTCACTATAGATAATTTATTCATTAGTACTACACACTGTACAGTGGGGTTGGTTTTTAAAATTTCTCATCCATTTAGACTTTTATTTTAAGATTAATTAATTTAGTTTCATTGGAGAGATCATGAATCCTGTCGGAAATTGGGGCGAGAGAGAGTGGGGAAGTACAGTATATGCCGGGAAGGAGCCACAGGTCAGATTCGAACGCTAGACAATTGCTTCAAGGTCTGCAGCCTCTGTACATGGGGCACACAAACTGACCTCTTGCGCCCCTCTGTTTTGATTTAATCAAGGCTAAGAGTTATGCATACATTTGCATAATTAGGGGAGAGGTTGTGTTGACTGACAGACAGACAGGTTGTAGCTGTTAGTCTGGAGGCTTATGGCCCACCTCAGCATCAACTCTTTGCCTGTGTCTACTGTTCAAAAGCTACCAAGAGTCAGCAATTCCAAAATGGCGACCGCCATCGTTGGGCTGACATTACTCAGTACTTTTACGTGCAGTTAGAAAAAGTCCACAGTTCCCTCACTGGGCTTGTGTTGTTGCCTGCCTTTGGATATTGCCACATTCTCGGTACAAAAGGTACAAAAGGTACAAAAGGTACAGAGCTGTCAGGTTGTCCATGTTTCCATCATTTGACAATCATTTGGCGCTTGCTAACTTGTAAACAAGGTCAACAGGAAGAAGAAATACTAGTACCTTGTTAAAAGGGGGCATATCACCACCTACAGTAGTGGAGTCGGTCATATTTGTGACAATTAATTGATTCTCTCCTGGTGCTTGTATACTGGCCTAATTAAGCTTTAACTGTAGCTCAACTTAGCTGTGCATGTTAACGTTCTGACTGAGACGACGTCCATGTTTCCATTGTATGGTTTCTGCTGGGCTCCGATGTTCTATCTTAGTTTTTGACATTACTCAAAGGACAGTGATACATCTGTTAAAGAATAAGATACATCATTTTGAAACCAGAAACAGCTGTTACGTTGACTGTTTAAAGCCACCAGACTCCAATGACAAAAACACTTATGTGGCTCACAGAAAACAGGAGTTTCTAGTCCAACACAGCCTCGTTTGATATTTATTTTGTGTGTATGTAGTTGTGTGACCGACAAGAAACTCCTTAAAATTTGTGTTTTTCCAATGGAGTCTGGTGGCTTTAAACAGAGAGCAAGAAAATGCTTTTTCTCTCCCTTAACCTCATCAATAAGGTCCATTTTTGCAATGATCCATTCTATTGTGTATTCAGACAATGAGAATAGAAATTTGAGCCTGTCGGTGACAAACACAAGAACTTTTTAGTAGGAGTTCTTTGATTGGCCATGTTAACTCCCAAAGATGATTTGCAGCCACTAGAGAGTGTGTCACAGCTTCCGGCTCAACTGATCTACTGAGCAATTCTGAAAACATTTTCATGTAGACCCAGAAATAAAAGAAAATAGGGCCAAAGGTTGAAAAATACTGGAATTAATCTTCAATAAATACCGCACTGGGTCCAATGGTTCAATGACACCAATTCTGCACTTACAATGGTCACTTTGTTTCTGTTGATGGTGCTGTTTTTTCTTTTTTTTTTACTTTACTTTTCTCCAGAAAAAAACAAAACAAAGAACACAACAGTGAAAGTATCATACAGACAACAAGGTCAATATCCACTTAGAGGAGGATGTTGATTTCCCTTTTCTTTTCTGTTTTCTATGAATTCCCAAAAGTTAACTGGCATCCATACATCCCTGGCCGGCAACCGTTTCTTTGTATATAATTCAGAAAATCTCTAGTAGATATTCACAGTTTCTTTACTGAGACTGAATGGCAAAAATACCCATGAAGTCTAAAATTGCTGGTTTAGTCATCTAAAAACATGGATGCCAAGAGTTCTTGATAGTAGAGGAGGTCTCTGTCATCTGAGACTATTTGATGGAAGGATTTAAAGTGTAAAAATATCTTGCAGCGCGTTGCCTTTGAGCACTAACACACAGATTCAAACATACAACCATTCATTTTCTTGTATATATATATATATAGAGAGAGAGAGAGAGAGAGAGATCTGTAGTTATATGGAACAGTGGAAATACCTTCAATAACGTCTGACGGTATGATGTAACAAACGTTTCACATATTCTTCTTGGTCAAAGAGATTTTGTTCTGTGTATGGATTTACATGATATCAGATTTCTGTACAGTGAAACAGCACACATAAAAACATGAGGACATTGAAATAAAAATATCCCACGCTGATTGTGATAGTTAAAATGTAGTTCAATTCATTTTTTTTACTTCTAGAAAGGGAGGACAGGGTTTATTTTTGGCGGGACAAGGACGAGAGGGGAGGGCTTCCATTCCACACTACACAGTAGTTTCATTCTTCCAGGGTCCAGTGCGTATATTCCCCGTGCTGTCCGAGGCGTACAGGAGTCCTTCGTGTATGCCCCCTTTTAGAATCCCGTTCTGATTGGGGGGGTTCTGAGGGTAGGATTGTCTGCGCGGTGCGTGCATCTCCAAATGGCAATGTGTCGCCACCGGGTCCGGCTCGGCCACTTTGCCGCAGCCGCACAGGAAGACGCCCGTGTCACCTGCCTCTGCTGGGCACAGGGAGGGGAAAAGGTCTGCCTTGGAACAGCAGATGTGCCGATGGCAGGGGTGATGGCATGCCAGGGCCTCATGTGTGGTGGCTGTAGCAGCATGGCATGTGTGATGACCGTCATGGTGGCCTTCATGGGCCACATGTGGACAGATATGGGCATGGCGCTCATGTGTGCTGTGTGGGCTGTCAGTGTGTGAGCTGTGCACGCTGCCTCCATCCCCACTGGATGGGATGTGATAGGCATACTCCCTCTCGCTCCCAGCCCCGCAAGCAGCGGCTCCGGCCCGGCGACCCAAACTCCGGCTCTTAGTCCTGGTGCTGCTCTTTAGGCAGGGGTGCAGCTGGATCCCGGGCCGGTAACCCTCTGGGTCAGGATGTAGCAGCACATGTGTGGCTGCAGGCTCCTCCTCCATCAGCTGCTGGCTGTGCAGGGCGGCACAGCAGGGCGTCACAGGTGCGAGACACGTCACATGGTTTTGAGAAGATGGTAGTGCATGTTTGCAGTGACCTACACTGCCATGACTGCAGCTGATCAGGGCTTTACCCGGACACGGGGAGTCATGGTGGCAGTGGCTGTGACTGTGGCCGTGCCCGGGGGTATCTCCATTCACATTGACCTTAGGCCGCGCCTGAGCAGGACCATGGGCTCCCGAGCAGGCATTGTCCTGTCGTCCAGGGCAACAGGAACACCAACAATGCCAGACATCATCACGCTTGGCACAGTGATGAATGAGAACAAAGAGGCCAAGGGTGACAGAGAAGGCACCATAAAGGCAGCTGAAGATCATATCCAGGAAGTGGCCCTGAGACACAGCAAGCGCCCCGAACGCCCAGGTGGCCAGGAACAGGAAGAGGGTGAAGGCTGCCGTCCGTAGCTGAGCCTTGAAGGAGTGCTCATTAGCCAGCAGTGCGGGGTTGATGGGTACACCTGGGCAGCCAGCGGGACAGTGACTCCCCGTAGACGGGGCCGCCAGAGCCCCCGGCTCCGCGCTCTGGTGGCAGTGGGTCGGCACATCGATGGCAGCCAGCCTCTGCTGCTCCTCGGTCAGCTGCTTCAGCTCGTACTTCTTCTCTGGGTGTTTCCGCAGCTGGAGGAAGGTGCAGAAGAAGTAGATGCAGGTAACCAGGAAGATGAATGCGACAGGGCCAAAGAAGGCCCCCAGGCTCGGCTCCCAGGCCATCCAGCAGCTGCAAGACACACACATGGACACCACCACGTTAAAGGTGTGATACTTTTTTTCTTAAAAAAAAGAAAAAAGCATTAAAAAAAGCAATGGACAGCACTTTTACAGCTTCAGAAAGCATTTTTTTTAGGTGTATGAGATGGCAAGAAACATCAGCAGAGGTTGGAATTTAACCTTGTGAGCAGGAAAAATAATAGACTTACTATGGTGCTTGCTCCTTGCTGCCATAGTTGTCTATATTGACGGCTGCTGTGACCCCGCAGATGATGAGGGGCACTCCACCACTGACTAAATAAAATCTGAGAGGTGATCCAAGGACAAAGAGAGGCAGAGAAAAAGAAGAAAGCATAAGAATGTTTGGCAGGACAAAAACAATGTATAAATCCTCTATATGACATCTGGATCACAGTATTTAACATATTCACACTTCCAACTCATCAAATTTGACAGCTTGGTCAGTGGCCTTTTACTATAGGGAACACAATATCGTCACATTTCACCTGCAAATAGCAATGATGAATATGCAACATCTGGTCAAGCTTTGAAAATGAAGCTTGCTGACAACTTTTCAAATTTACGAGTGTAGTGATGTACAACAATAATTAGCATTTTGTTAAAGCTCCTGTGAGTAACATTTGTGTTTCGTCAATGTGTGACACCCCCTGTGAACAAGAAGGGCCTCTGATCTCCTTACTGATTCATGTCCTGAACATTTCTAAGTAATGTTGAAAGGGGGCCATTTCTGTCCCTTAATGCATTTAACGCTGTGCACAGCAGCACGTGCTAATAGGACTATCCAAACACTGACATTAAAATAACACTAAATAACACAGCAGAGCCTTCAAATCATTCAACAAATTAAAAAGAGCAGAACAGATACCTGTATTGTTACAGTCCACTTTTTTTAAACTTTCATTTCAGCACAAATCTTACGTAAGGACTACTTCACAATAATGGGTAAAATATGCAATTTTAAGTCTTTTCAAATTTGTATTTGTTTTTGAAAAGCATCTCGTGAACCCCCAAGGGGTCCCGACCAGCACTTTGGGAACCACTCAAAGCTGCTCTTACTGTATACGTCACATTCACCCATTCACACCACATTCACACATCGGTGGCAGAGGCTGCCACAGGAAGTGCCCACCAGTATGATCTCATCCCATGTGCTTTCACACACCACTGGCTATCCCACTCTGGATCAATTCAGGATTCAGTGTATTGTCCAAGAACACTACGATGAATGACTGCAAGAGCTGGGGAACCAAACCCCCCGACCTTCCTATTGAGAGACAAACGACTCTACCGCTGAGCCTCAGCTGTATGAATCATATCCATATATTAGATATGTAACCAATCTATGCTATGTTATAAACATTATTTACTAAGATGTTACTAATTTAACTAAAAATGTATTGTATTCTGCTTTATGCAACATAAAAAGAGGACTTAAAATAAATCAACATATTTGTTTAGAAACAGCCCGGCCTATGCAGATGCTCTGATTAAGGGCGCGGCCACCATCCGTACCGTGCCCAAGCATGCTTCAACCCAAAAGTCCAGTTTGTTTGGCCAGTGTGACCGCTGAGTACACTTCCTTGGCTTTGGCACACTTCGGACAGGTATGCTTCGGCACGGTACACTTCATGCACGAGCATGCGGGTAAACAACGCTGACAGCCTTCATTAAGGAGAAATCCAGAGTTTCATGGCTGTATCTGACTAACATGACACAATATAAGCCACAAAGTAGCTGTCATGTTCTCTGTGTTGTTCTCTGATGTGCGATCGCGGACTCGCCAGTGTGACCGCGCCCTTACTTCTTACTACATGTGACATCATGTTGTTCCGTCTGCAAAAATGTAATAAAAAGATTTAGAAAAAAAAAAAAAAAAGCACGGCCTAAATGGGCTCTGATTGTAAAATTTCAATTGATTGAATAATCAATCATTTAGGATTAAAGACCTGGTTATCGTCACTAAAGTGCCTGGTTTGTGGAACTATCCATTGCTGCCCAAAGATGACACTTAAATGGTCTATAAAAGAAATCACCTGCCTTCAACAGCACAAACAAACAATCAGCTGGAGTACAGGGTCCAGAAACCATGCTAAAAAAGGAATCTGTTGTGTCTGACTGTATTTTAAAGATTCATGCTACCGACCAAGTGTCTGTTTTTGAAAACAAGGTAGTGAAGACAGGCTGCAACCAAAACCTGTCAAAATATGAAACCTATACAAGAGGAGAATTACAACCAAAAGATCCAAACAGACCAAGTTGACAGACAAACAAGCAGACACGAGGGGACAGGCATGAGAACATATCTGTCAGTTAGCTCTTCGCCTCTTTCCTCAAATATTTCCAACCAAAAACATCCGAAGACTGATGTGTAGCGTCGAAGCTTGTCAATGTGTTTGGGATCACACTCTGCGGGTGCGATCACACCTACAGTTTGTTTTCTCTGCTACAAACCAAAGTGTAAATTTTACTTGGAAAACAAATCTGTTTCCTGTCGATTTAAGCACGATGAACTTGTCAGCGCTAATCGCTGCAATTTACAGCATCTGTTGTTTATAATAGCTCCACAGACGAGAAGAGAAACCTGCCTCTGAGGAGAGGTGACACTGCAAGAAAAAATTCAGCTGAGCTTTCCATGAATAATCATTTCTAATAGGCATGTCATTATGATAAAACCCATTGTAGAAGAAACCCTCAATCGCAGGGTGTACCGTTAAGGTAATTTGGAAAATCTCCCCACTTGATACAGACAATCCAAACAAGACCAAAGAGTGAGGCAATGTTGTCTGATACAGATACAGATATGGACATGGCTACAGATACAGACGGAGCCGTCCATATTTTTGCACATCTTGTGGAAACTTATGGATACGGACCAAACGTTGTAACTCTACCCAAACAATCTTGGGGGCAGTATCAAGCAGTGTTGCCCACACATCATACTAGACCAGTAGAAACACAACAAGAAGACAAGAGGACAAGAAGACTTTGGAAAATGGCGGAACTCTGTGAGGAAGATTGTGCACGTGATGTGTACTCGCCCTGCCATAGGGGCAGACAACTACAGCAGAAAAGATGGGCAGAGACTGGAAGGGAACTGAGTGTCAGCTGGACAGAAACAAAGGAGTAGTGGAGGTCTGGGATAGACTGCAACATCTTTTCTAGAGGATGCATATTTTACTGTCTGTGCCAACGTAAAGGACGTTTGGGACGATATAAGTAGTGATGATTATATTGTTTAAAACATGCCTATTTTCATATGAGCCTTGCTTCCACTGAAATATTACAAAGTAAAATAACACTCGCAGCTTTAATCTGATTCAGACACTAAACTCACATAAGTGTCATATTACATTTCTTGCACATTTTTCTGTATTTTTTCGATTTGATTAAAGTTGTATTATCTGTTCTGACATCTAGAAGATATGAAATGCAGACCCAGTGGGTTACCGGCCTCTTTCCTTTTGAGTTGAATGTTTGTGTAGTTTAGCCATCACTACTCATCACGTTATATGTTTCTTCAGAACTATAACTATGATTGTCCTCAGAATGTCACCATGCACATCTTCAAGATGCAATTAAACAGATGACCAGTCAGGGCATCAGCATGTGGAGGAATGTCATCAGCTGTTTCTGAGCAAATGGCAATAACAAAGGCAGAAGACTTACGCTGCTTCTTCAACATGAACAATGCTGTAACCAGCCCGGGTGTCGACATGTTAAGTTATTCTGACATAGTCCAAAACTGAACAGTCATTTCAGCTTGGGATGAGTCAGCCATTTTCTGTCAGCGTGTACATTGTTTCTGGCAAGGCCAATATCTAAATGATGCATTTTAGTACAGAATTTGTATCATGAGAGTTGTAAATTCACTGCAGAAACAGAGCTAACCCGCAGCCCCGTCCTCCCCTCTGCACTGTCCTTGTCCTCTGTCTATGCACTGTCATACTGTTTCCTCTATAACACTGTGCTATTTCCTCTTCCTTCCTGTTCAATCTCAACCTCTGTCACTGCTCTAACCTTTACACCACTCCATCTCTATCCTCCGTTTCTTTCCTTCAATCCATTCTCCGTCTCCCAATCTGTCCCCCCCCCGTCACACAGCGCCCGTCCCAAAAATTCAATTACAATCAAGATGTTTGTCTGGGCTGGTCGGCGAGGAGGGGAGGGTGGGCAGAGAGAGAGGGAATGGGGTGGGGGCATTACCGGCCTGTCACTGTCTCTGAGTGGAACGGTTCCCCTGGGGGACTCTCCTTCAACAGAAAGCCATTTACACACCCGTCAGCCAGATAAGCATTAAATGAGAAGAACTAGTGGATGTTAAAGCACCCTGTGCTTTATAACCCTTGTACCCTTTGTCCCCTCTAGGAAAGCCAGCATGTGTTTCCTGCTGGCCTGTGCTTCAAAAACACATGTCGTGTCCATGCAAAAAAATGTAGAGCATGTGTGAACAAATCACTGTCTGCATGCTGCCCTGTTCTTTATGCAAAAACATGCACGCTCATATTAAGATTCAATGCACTCGTCCCTGTGTGAATACACACACAGTTTTACACACTTTGACAACACACACACACACTAAGTTTTTTTGGGGCCATTCTATTAAAGAAAGCCTTCAAACTGTAACAAAATGGCTGTGCATGCAGAGTTGTTCTTTTGAGTGAGTTTAGGAACAGCAATCATCTGATATAAATAGACCCTGAAGTGCCTTTTAGCCAGCAGCAGTGACCCCTCCCTCCCTCGTCCCCTCCATGTTCCTCTTCTGTCCTCTATTTTGTGACTATAATGTGTCCTCTGTCTGGACCCACTCCAGGATGTATAAACACGTACAGCATGGGACAGCTGATGGTCGTATAGATCCAGCACAGTGCAGAGGTTTATGGGTAAAGCTAGACTATATAGCAGCTATGTGTGCAAAAATCCTTTGCGTCCGAATGACCTTTAGTGAACAAAGACATCTTATTTATAACATTTTGGAAATTGGCAAACTGATAGTGAAATCAGTAGATGAATACCATCGCTATATGAAGCTACCGCTATCATCGGGTTACTTAGGCTGAGCAGAAGAACTGAAAAACAGAGGAAACCAAAAGAGGGGCTCTGTCTTAAAGTACCAGCACTTCTACATGTACTGAATGACTCATTATGTCCTGTTAAATATATATAAATGAAAGTATGTCCAAGCGGCAACCACCGGACTTGAAAAATTAAGCAAATGCAGAAGTGCAAAATCCTGCAGTTTGTCGAGTGTCCACTAGAGGCTGGCTCCAGGAACACAGGAAGTCAC